GGACACCGCGCTGTAACTAAACGCATTCCACGGGGCAGAATCATTGTAGGGAAGCTGATAGTCATCCAGCTGGTTAAGAAATTGCCGGCGTCTGGTTCAGTACCATGTTCACAAAAGCTCACTTTGTGATGTTATTTGATACTCTTTTAACGAACGATAATTGGTCAAAATCATCAAAGCCTCGTGCGTTGTTGGGAGTGCACAAGAAAATTAATTAATTTGGAATAGTTTACGCCTTCTGTCGCCAGTGGGTCTGCAGTAGAAAACAATATTAAAAGTAATTCTTTTTAAGTCATATTTTATTCACCAGAAATCACTGCTTTCAGGGCTGTCGTCTGGGGTGTAACGCCGTGTAGTCTGGTAGAATTTTACCGACATTTCGGATCTCCTTGCTGCTGCCATCATCAGGACGATGAGTAAGCCGGGCGCGTGGAATAGGTTTGAGATAAAAGAACCAGTCGCACGCGACTTACTCATCGCCCCGGTTATGGAAACAGCAAGGACATCTGAATCGTTGGTAAAATTCTACCAGACTATACGGCGTTACAAACCAGTAGACAGTCATCTTCATACTCACCGCCGTGAGACCTCATATCTCCAGTTTGAAACAAAGGTCTTAATAAAAGTGGCCTGTGGTTTCTAGTTTAATGAGAGATCATCAAAATAAAAAGTACGCTTTATTGCACAGACGGATATTACATTTTCAGTGTTGGTCCCTTTGATTAAACAAAGTCCAGTAATTTTCGTCGGGGGCTAATTATCCGAACAGATTTCGTGCTTTGTAGACCGAAATGGCGAAACGTGAGATGGGATAAAATATTTTCCATCGCTATAATGAAATTAATATGACTCCTTTAGAGATAAAACAAATTTTCGGATGATTTAACTGCTGTTCATGACAGAATTATTTCACGTATGTGCTAAATGAATGACAAGTTTATTACTCCGCTGAAACTGAATTTTGCTGTGGTTAGAGGCACCAGAAACACGCACGTATGACAATATTTTCCATCCCGTTAATATCGTTTATTTAACTACAGTTTAGGACTGACGAGAGAAATTTATAGATGTGCTAAATGGATGACAATGCTTCTATTCCAACAACAAAGTGGATTTAACTGCGGTTACAGGGAGGACAGAAAATATCGGCACACAAACGTTGTACCCTGCTCACAAATACAGAGTTCTAGCCTCTATTAGTGTCGGTGGATTGGTTAGTGGGTGTATGCGTTAGTGCCTTGTAAGAATGCACGCAAATCGAAACTATTGAAGTAAAACTTGGTATTGAAAGATTAATGAAGCAAATACAGTGAAAGATATCTCACTGATTATTTAGTCTTGTTAAAGAAAATTACTGAGTAGGTTAATATGAGTACGTGTTTGCAATAGTAGGACTGATATAGTAGCATTTATAATAAATTTAGTTGTTTGTTTATTTATTAATGGACTTTCATGTTGTTTATCAGGATTGTTGTTTCTGTAATTTCTTTTTGTATGCAGAAAATTAAAAATTTAGAAATATGCTCAGAAATAAATCACTGAATTATATGGTTATTAATTTATGGATCATACTTGTCTGGTGATACAGACTGAAACATTTGAGAAACGTCTTCAACGTAGTTATTTACAGAAAAACTTGTTTATACCATGTAATATTCTCAGTTTATTTGACTGAATTTAAAAAAAAAAGATGGCAATATTTCTTGCTGTGACAGTACAACAGAAATGACTGCGGTTAGCGACGAGGGAGAGAGAGAGAGAGAGAGAGAGTTGATAAATTGAATATGACGTCTGTTTACGTAATGCAGTGATTTCAAGTGCGGTTATCTGTAAAGGATCGTAAATGGATGTCAGTGTTTTAAGTTTTATTAGTACAATGGATTTAAATGCGGTTAGGAGTCGAGAGATCGATTCGTACATGTCAAATGGTTACGAATATTTTATAATCTTCTAGTACAATAGATTTAACCGTGGTTAGCGGCGAGTTAGAATAACCCTGTAAATCCGAAAACTTTAGACTTCGAGTAGGAACGGTAGTTTTAGCTGTCAAAATACAGAGGATCGCATTGCAAGTTCTATTTTATCGAATTCGATTCGATTTACTGACATCAAGTCTAGTTAAGCAAGCGCACAATACGTTTATATGGATCGGCGTCTTTAAGAGACAACGAAAGAAGGGGGGGGAGAGAGAAATATAAAGATGACGGAAGAAAGAGATGTTTTGATAAATGGAAAGGGTTTAAGGAGAGAAAAAGGAAGAATACAAGAAAGAGAAAAGGGTTACTTGACATCACAAACACGCGCAGTTCACCATGGAGGTCCGTGTTCATTCCCAAGGCAACCTCCTTGAAATTGCCAGATTAAGGCAAGCATGTGACCCGGTGGGAAGTAGGATTTGAGGTTTTCACGGTCGTGAGTACGAAGGTGGATCATTTCTGGGTTGTAGCGCCGTGGAGTCTGGTAGATGTTTACTGACGTTTCAGAGGGCGATGAGTCGCTCTGATGATGGAGGCAGCAAGGGCCTCTGAAACGTTGTAAACTTCTACCAGACTACGTGGCGCCGCACCCCAGAAGACAGCCGACTTGGTGGAAGGTATGTCGGTGATCTTCCGAAAAGAAATATTACAGTTGAAGTGTAGGTCCGTTACAGTTTCTGTGATGATAAAAATATTTTCAGAGACAATATTTACAAGGGCTGTGTCATGGATTACCGTTAGCCTTAACTTTGTAACATTATTTACCTTTAGAAAACTCGAAATTTCTCTCACATTTTAGGTATATGACTTGAAAGATCTAGGTAAAGATGGGAGGATAATATTAAGATGGATCTTTAAAAAATAGAATATGAGGGTGTGGACTTGATTTATCTGGCTCAATATAGGGTCCAGTGGCTGGTTCATGTGAAAACGGTAATAAACTTTTGGGTTTCATGAATGGTGCATAATTTATTGACCAGCAGAGCGACTATTAGCTTCTCAGGAAAGACCAATCCGTGGACTTGGGTAATGCGTTATATTTTGTGGTCAGATAATTCTGTAAAAAGTTTTGTCTTTGTGTGTGTGAAGTAATAACTGTATCTTTAAATGTGTTTTTTTAGTATATAGCGTTTGCTGTTCAGAAAGCAGATGGTGGCCTGAAGTTCAGATTACACGCCTCACACACATGTCGGAGAAGTTGTGTATAATTCGGAGACTTTCACTCTTAATCTGAACCAAGAAGCGTTGTTGCTCAAATATCCGAAAATCGGAATAAAGGAACGAGTTATAAGGGTAAAAAAAAACAGCCATAGCAGGCCTTATATTTCAGGATCTTTTGAAAATTTCAGCTTTATTTACGTGATAAATTAAGCAAATGTATCTCTAACCTAGCATTTTTCAATGATGAACATGTAGTCATTACCATATAAACAAAGGCAATGTATGAGAATTTTAAGTAGATTCTTTATTTTAGAAATTCGGTTCTTATCCGAAAAAAACACAAGTATTCTCCATTATATACATCAATATCATAAACCGTTTAGAGAAATAATCGCTGTTTACTCTGATAATCTTACAAAACCTATAAAAGGAAAGATGATAATTGTTAAAGCAGGTGATGAATATACTTACCACGAGACGTTAAAGCTGCTTTTATAGAAATATGGCCGCCCTAGTTCCTCAACTGACGATTTTGAGCCAGAATAAAATAAGACATCCTAACACAAGATTATGCAAATTTGCTGTAGTGTAAACACACTGTCCGTCTAATATAAACGATCATGTCAACACACTGGCCGTGAAACAGTATACAGAATTATGGGATTTTTTTAATATGTTCGACATATATATCAAAGGGTGAAGAAGTGGTTCTGAATTTAAACATAAACTCGATAAGAATCTTAGATTCATCTTCAGTTCTGCTTTTCCTTATTATCACATCTTCAAATTAAAAGAAATGTTTTAGTCCGCTACTTTAACCTCTCTCTTCAACCACCTATGTTACGAATATCCTATGCTTCACGGCATATTACACAACAAACATGGTTCTTTAATTAACTTCGAATCTTGTTCTGATTTCAAACTTCATCAGTACACAATTTAACCAGACAAGATCATTCGATACGTTCCTCCGTGGCCATGAACTTCATTTTTCACTAACATTACAAATATCTTTAGGTCTTCACTAGGGCTATATATGGACCAAATTCTAACAGTTTATATTACCCCAAATAAAGACTAAAAAATTACTTTCTAAACATAATAAAATACCTTTCAATGTACACGTAGACAATTACCGACAAGCTTTATCATAATTATGCATTCTTTTCACACATGATATAGTATAAAGTGAGCTATTATGTTAGAACTGGGAAGAAGACAGCTGGAACGTATTTAAAGGTAAGTTGCTATTCCAGCATTTGTCAGTAAAGACAGGAAAATGATTAAGAAACCTCAATGAGGATATACTGTAACTGAGCTGTTTACCGACTGAAGACCTAGAGCCTTACCGCTACACCGACATGCATCCGATCGTTCTTGGGTGTTTTATCTACACGGGACTCACTGATCCGGTTCCCGGAAAGACATTCAGCCCGAGTCCGAGGCCCACCGAATCTTCTATCCAGCGGGCACCCGGGTAATTTCCTCTGTGGGAAAGGGACCAGGGCCCACACCTCCGACCGACTCAACCGCCCCATTCAAGCCCAAAGTCACGAATGCCTGGGAACCCCCGCCCCACCCCCCCCCCCCCCCCCAAAAAAAAAAAAAATGTACGGGATTATTTGACGCATACAAAACTCCTGATTCTAACCTCCGACGGCCTCTTTCACTCGTGAGTGTCTTAAATCCCACGGTCTCCGGGATCAACGTTACCATAGGCCTGTTTGAAGGTTGTGACGCTTTTAATATTCCGAAAGCCATTATATTTTAAAATGGTACGCCATTAAACTTAAACATTAAAATGGAGCTGTGTTCGTAACATAGTGGTAACGGGCAATTAAGAATGTACATGCGTAGTCCTACCTTTGGTCGGAAGGATGCTCCTGACAGTACTTCCTGTTGTCCTCTTGGGTCCTCCACCAGCTGCGTATTTCTGGTACAACTCCAACATATGTTTCGGAGGTGTAAAAACTTTTGCCGCCGTTGATAAGGGCTCGTTGGGCGGTCGAAGCTTCAAAATCTGTCGAAATACATTCTGCACTGCAACTTCAGGGCCTTCCGTCATTTCAGCGGTCGCCCGTACGACCGTTGGCAAGTATAATAGAAAAACAGTTGCCGGCAATAATGCGAGACGTTTGAATCTTCTTTCTAACATTTTCACTGACTCTTAACGTCTTCAGGGAAAAATCGATAATATGATTGTTGATTGTAATTTTGCCCTTCACAGTTGGAAGTCTGTAATGAGGTTCATTATTTTCTTACATTTATTTAATCAAGTTATAAGTTGGGTTTATGGAACTTGTAAAACGAATAAAATTTGCTTTTTCACATATATTCAGGGGATAAACTGAAAGGCCTTTGCTACCATTAATATATATTTGAAATACACTTCAAATTCATAGTTGATCAATGATATTCTTTCTAAAATTACAACAATTTATGTCCTGTTCCTGGGCAATTTATATTCTTAATAATGCAAGATTTCGACCAGTCTTCTACCAAACATATTGCATTATGCAGTTAATAGTCTTGTATTATTTAGTTCTATTTATATCCCTACCTTCTGTCATATAAAGTACGCAACATTAATTCAGAGAATCCGACTACTTATATATCACACCAATTTGCAACTAATAAGCACGGAACATTTTTGCAATGTCTACAAAGAATCTGGCCTTTAATTTCTGTTAAAAAAAACAGAAAAGTTTATTCGAATTTATACTGTTAACGACAAATAAAGGTGCATTAATCACCAAAACATCCATTCACGTAATCGATAAATGTAATATGTTGCTGGCCAAAACTTTTATGGCAGTAATTAAAACACGAGTGTCGTATATTGTCACACATTTTCGCTAAGTTCAGTTTGTGTTTTCACTGTACAGATTTCTGAATTTCGTTTCCAGCTAAATGCAATTAATTTTCGACCAGAAAAGAAATTTTCAATGGGGATTAAATACCGCAAAACGTGAATTTCTTCTCACTGGTAAATGTTTGATTATATAAATATATTTCAGAGTGAATAAAGAAACTTCTAATCAACACATTTCCATGTGTGAAAGAGGCTACACTCAAGGAGTGAAAGACGTATAACAATCGAGAGATCGCTGTAGCCTGTCGAGACAATCGAGCAGCTGTCTCGCGCGTCCTTCCCGCTCTGTGGTGAGATGTGAACTGTCTTGTTCTCGGGCCTTGCATTGTATTCCACCTTGCATTCGCTCGCTGACGAAGTAGCGTGCGCAAAGCCTGTACCAGTCTCCTCCCCTCTCAGCTCAGCTGTGTTTAATAGCTCCATCTCCTAGAATCGCACACGAGAAATGTCAATGGTCATGTCTTCTAAAGTACCTCTGGTATGATCGCCGTTATCAACTTCATTACGTGTACGTCCTTCTAATAAGTCATACAGTTAATCAAGTACACAGGTAATTTTTATTAAGTTCTGACACTATTTAACAATGTTTTATTGATTACAGAGATTATGGTTCACTAACTACATAAAAAGGAGTCCATTCTGCTTTTACAAGGGTCCACGATCACTTCCTATCCAGAGCCACATGAATCCAGTTCTCGCCTCCGATCATATTTAATTGAGATCCACTTAAAAAGTACTCCCATCTAAGACTAGATCTCCCAAGTGCTCTCTTTCCTTAAGGTTTTCCGGCCAATATTTTGTACGTATCTCTCATCTTCCATGGTCTATCCGCCAATCTCGTCTTCCTTTATTTGATTATTTTAATAATATTTACTGTTGCGTACAAAGTATAATTTTTTAAATTATTGAACTTTCACAGTCCTTCTGTCATTTGATCCCTTTTTAAATTTGAATGTTCTTCATTGTGTGCTTAATCGGAGATTATTTAAATTCACGTAAGTAGTAACAGCCAATTGACTGTAAATGTTACGAAGATTGTGTACTGTCTGTTTTAACAGACAAGTCCTATGTCACCACGTGTCTCCAAAAAGTTTAAATTTAATGCCAGTTGTATATTCAGAACGACAGTTTACAAGTAAACTGAGTAAATTTCCGTTCCTTAGTACTTACTGATTGGTTATAAAACTGTAATTATTGTGCGTGATGTTTTATGTGGGCTTGAATTGTTGAGAACTATTGGACGTAACAGAAGTAAGACATAAAAGTTTTGAGGAAATGATGTATTGTGGAGCTTCATAGCTTGTATTCTTTACCAAATATGATTAGGGTAATCAAGTCAAGGATGATAAGATTGGAGGGGTATGTAGCACGCATGAGGGCAATTATGAATACAGATAACATAACAGTCCGAAACCTGAAGGGAAGTGCTCACTGAGGATATGTAGGAATGACCTACATTTTACATGGTAGATAATATTTTTATTAAAATGGGTCGTAAACAAATAGTGTGTAGATCTAAGGATATTGTCCGAATTAATTTGGGTGATGATAGGGTAAGTGAACCTTCAAATTCATTAAAAATTGACAGTCGTTACTAAAGCAGAGGAGAGACCAGAGAAGACATTATGGCAGGGCTGTGGAGTCGGTAAAAATGTACCGACTCCGACCTCGATATAAAATCTTAAGAATAATTTCCATATCGTGTGAGCTGCCGGCGGCCGGAGATTCAACGACGCGTTGAGCCACATGGTGTGGGAATAATGCTCTGTAACTATGGCTCCGGTAACTGTATACAAATTAACCGATTTCTGCAATAACCATTAGACGTATATTTAGATATAGGTTATAAGTCTAAAAATTAAGCTGATGTTTCACGTAGTGATGATGAAATCTCTTAAGTTTCCATTTATAATTTTAGTAGGTTTACCCTTATTAATACATATTGAGCTTTTATGAAGGAGTCGGAGATTTTAGTACCGACTCCACAGCCCTGCATTATAGTGTTGTTACGAATAAAACTACACCATCGAATAACTTAATTATATTTCTTAGATTCTTAAATGCATTTTGCTGCAACTACGAAATAACTTCATCTATCTTTGACAACCATATCTCATTAAACACAACGTGAAATTAAATAAGCGTTGTTTTGGCGCAGTTTAAACATTACAGTATTCCAGACTACCTATAACTTTCATTGTAAGCAGTTTTTAAAAGTATGGCATAAACATGTGAATGATAGCAAAATTCTGAAGATCATGTAAGAGTCGTGTACTTAAACTAGACCCAGGGGCGACTTCAACTCGTTCTTCATTTGTCTCCAGATAAAGTTCGTTATAAAAATAATGAGATATTGTTGAGAAGGGACCTGGTTTCTGAAAGACGTCTTATCATGCTAATAAGATTTGTATAATTCAGCTGGCTGTCCTCAGAATAACACCGTGGTATCACACGATCATGAGGTCCATCACTGCCACAAATGTCCAATGCTGGAAGCTGTCCAAGCCAGTTTATCGTAACTTCTCTCGTCAGATCTCTGCCCACACAGTTGTTACGTGCTTTTGGACGCGTGTCCCTGTTCCATCACTGATGTACTACACCTGTAGGAGGCGCCCGGTTCGAATGACGACCAGATTACCAACCTTCCTCACTCACACTTTTCGTGTTCTTCCTCATTCCCTCCGCCCGAATGTCATTATAGTACTTTAAAGTATGACATCATTTACTCTTTCCAAATTCATGCCTTTCTCCATACATCATTCGGCCCTATATGGACACTGTAGCTGAAACAGCGACGTTAAATAACCTAATAATTTATGATAATTGATGTTTTTACAGAGATGAGGACAATGATATTGTTCTTTTGGGTTTTGGCGCCGTGTAGACTCGTCAGTAGATTTCAAAGACTCCATCTTCGGGGCTGAAGTGGCGGTCCATAGCCAAAACGTTTAATTTCTCGTAAAATCTTATTTTTCATTTCTTGATTAAAATATCTGCTATATTCCATGTACGGGAAAGTAAAAACGTATAAGGATTAATATCTTAAAGCAGCCGCGGATTTCAGGAAATATTTTTGTGCTATGTTTTACCGACTTCTTGCTTAAAAAGTTCCAAAGACAGTAGAAGGAGTAACAAGTGAACTCTTCTCTGAATAAAGCTGTTTTGGCTTATTAAATTTAATTTTGAGGGGAAGTTGTAATAATTTGCTTAATTTAAAACCTTGTTAATTTATATTTAGGTCAAGATTAAACAATATACTATCGTGTTGAAAATCATGCTTGTCCTTTAGATAGGCCGGAATAGTTCAACGCGTTTGTGAATACTGATTTTCAATTCGTACGTCCGACTTACTTCATGGCGCTATAAATCAAAACAAATGGGCTTACTGAATTATTTTCTGGTTCAGAAAACAGTGTTTGACCAAAAACAATACGAAGGGAAACGCAGAGACTGAATGTGTTTTCATTGTGTTGAAAGTTACGGTCCCATGTACAGAATTTGTGTTCATTCTTTCCTTTTATCCCTTTGTTGATGTTTTTTGTTGCTTACATTTTTTTTGGGTGGCATGATTAATACATCGCGGTGCCTTCAGCAAAGACGACTCGGAGGAGAGAAAAAAATGTTTCCATTCAGTTTGTCTGCTTGTCGCAAAACTTCTGCTCGTGAACTAGAAAACCGACCAACCTCTCAGTCCCTTTGTTGATGACAAATGAACGATGCTTGTACGGGAGAATGAAATGACACTGCTCGACATACGCTGTTATTCATAAGCATTTGAGCACATTTTCTGAACACTCTGTACACCTCTTCTATTTTATCATCTAAATGGTACGAGTTCGTCTTGAACATTTCGTTATTATTTAGGACGCTGCTTGTTCGATTCCTATTTAATAACGCTGAGTAGGATGCAAAGTTTCACATCAGCATAAGAATACCTTCGCGCTCATATTAACTTAGCTGCATTCTGTTTCTTTCACTGAACGCCAGAGTCATAATCGTCTTTGGAAATTCCCGTCAAAGTGCTTCATTCTGAGCCTGATTAGTTTAGTCTACACCAGTGGTATTCAACCTTTTTTGTTCGCGTACCCCCATATATAATTTCTCTTCAACTTTGTACCCCCAAAGTTGTTGGTGTATAATTCAAGTTACACATAGTATATAATCTGCATCTAAAATAAATTAAATAAATTACATTACTGATTATTCAGTGTTTATCATAAAATAATATATATTTTTTTAATTTCACGTACCCTCTAAGATGTCTTCGCGTACCCCAGGTTGAATATCACTGGTCTACACCATCATATAAACAGTATTGAAACCCCAAGACTCATTTTAATATTATCATCACTACTACTACCACTAGATTTCTTAAGCGGTCTCTTTACGTAGAGCAATCTGGAAAAGCACATAAATATTTTTAATTATCCTATTCGTACTGTGTGCCCTGCCCAGCAATTCTTATTCATTTAATAACTGTAACGGTATGAAGTTCCAGATTTTCTTCATTTCTTCGTTACTTCATTGCTATTTGGTCTAAATATATATCTCGGCACCTATTGTCTTTTAATCCACCCCACCCAAGCCCTGAAAATGGAGGCAGTATGCTCCCTCGAAACGTTCGTATCTGTCTGGCGTTACAACCCAGAAGACTTAACACTGGCGTTAAGAGGTCCGTTAACCAGGGCCACCATCCTTAGTAGCCGAGTTGGTGCTGCTAAATCAGAAGTGATGGTCTGTTAAGAACTTCTAAATATGCCAGTACGCTGTGGACTACTCGTTGGGTTAATGAAGCATCATAAAAATCTCCATCTCATAGAAACTGCAGAAACACTGGCACCTTTGCGGTAATTTTGCAGTCGCCTGTTTTATTTATCAATTTGAAGTCTATGTACCTGTTTATTTTCGTTTAAATTTAAGACTGTCTCTGTCAGCACGACATTGGATTGCATGGAGAGGACTGCCTCAAGATACAGAGGGCAGATGTGAATATATTGAAAATTCAGGATAATATGATAAGATTATAAAGGTTTATTCTATAGAGTACATAGAAGTTCCAAAGGCGTTCTTTACGCCACATTCTGTATGTGTTGTATCACTAGGTCATATGCTGCTGGTAGATGTCAGCACGATGGGTAATAATGTCATCAGAAGATTATAATCTTTCTTCAAAAGTTCTAGTATCCGTCACATCGGAATTATCGATTATACGAAATTAAGAAGTAGGAGTTTGAAATATCTTCTAATGGCGTAATTTTCATGCCAAATTCCATTAAAATCCGTTA